GTCGGGACCCTTTAAGCGCAGCCCTCGGCTAGCCTGAGACAGCATCTCCACGCTCTAAGTCCTCCTCTGATGCCCTGCCGGCACTGCTTCCGGCCATCCTTAAGCCCTGTTCAGAGTCCACTCAATGTGGACTTGCTAGTTCAAATTAGCAAAACGCTAATTCGAACTAGTTTTTAGTTCTAGACGCATTAGTTTGAATTAGCTTAGTTCGAATTAACTAATTCGAACTAAGTTAGTTCGAACTAGCGCTGTAGTGTAGACGTACCCTTAGGAATTACAGTGTGGGATATGTTGTATTAAAAAAGTAATTGTGTACATGTTATTATATGTACATTCTCTAGTAAGGAGGGGGATGCTAATGAAATTATAATGAGTTATCAGCTTTTGAAGCAACTCCATCCTCCATGGGGAGATGTACAAATACTCTATCAAACTGGATACTCAAGAGACAAAAAAAAATTTTTTGGCCAAAAGCATGCCTGCCCTCACTAAACCACTTAAAGAAAATATATATGCATTTGCTCTGAATTGTGACAATCACTGTTACATTCCTTCTTAAAAGTCTTGTTTTTCATGGTACCTACAATAACAGGAGAATATTTAGACAGTAGAAGTACATAGACCACTGACTATTATTATGACCAATATTCTCTCAATCTTCCTGTTCCACCATATCAGTCTGTAACCACCCTTTCTCTCCTAAATTATAAGCCCTTTTTGGGGCTATGACTCGTGGGACTGGATGTGGCCTTGAGATGTTTTCTAGTCCAATTACCCACACTCGTGATTGTACTAAGTATTATCTAGACCAGGGGTTCCCAAACTTTTTGACATGGGGTCCAGTAAAATCTATTCACGAGCTTCTGGTGGACCGGTAACATTCATTTGAATATTTGCATATTCATTAAGCAAATGATGAATACGCAAATAAGTTGTTTCTGATCCTCCCAACGCCCTCAGTGCCAACTTTAGCAAAGCTTTTGATATGGTCACCCACAATATTCTTGCCAGCAAGTTAAGGGAATATGTATTGGCTAAATGGACTGTAATATGGATAGAAAGCTGGCTAGACCAGGGTTTCCCAAACCTGACTGGTACCAGATGAGGGAGTTTTTTTGGACTAGGGAAGGTCATTTCAGGGCTCCTGGTTTCCCCCCTCCCCACTAGGCTTCTTTGCACCTCCCTCCCCTGCAATCCAACTGAGCTGCCCACCCCCACTGGTTCCCTGCACCTCCCCAAAACAGAAAGGAGAAAGGAAACAGGAAGGCCAACAGGAATGGTTTGGAGCAGTGTTTCTCAACCTTTTTTTCTAAAGTACCCCCCTTTAAAAAAATTATCAGTACCCCCTGCAGTTTTCAGACACACAAAACATTTTCTACCATTGCAGCACATTTGTTTAAACAACTTAATCATAACTGGGTGGGTGATGACATTTTGGGGTGTAAAAAGTACAAAAATAATAAAGCACTGAATAACTTAAACCAAAAATTCAGTTTTCTCCAAATTTCAGTTGTGTTGATGTATCCTCCAGACTTCTCTTGAGTACCCCTACCGGTATTCATACTACTGTTTGAGAAACACTGGTTTAGAGCAGTGTTTTTCAACTTTTTTTATAAAGTACCCCTTTTAAAAAATTATAAGTATCCCCAATGCACCCAGCCCTCCCCCAGATCCAAGCACCCCCAGCCCTCCTGCTCCAACCTAATGTCCCTTTTGTCCCAGAAAACTCTCCCCTCGCTCTAATCCAATGCCCATCCCCCAGAGCCAGGCATCCCCAGCTTCTCTGCCCTAGCCTAATCGCTCTCCCCATTCCACAGAGTCAGGCAGGAAAACCCTTCCTTTGAAGTGGCTGGTGATTGCACAGGGAGCACGTGGCCTGAAAGCGCTTGTGTAATGTAGAAAGCTGCTACCTTATAGGAATGTGCTACTGGTAGCATTTTCTTATCTGTATGATTGTAAGGAAGTGCTCCTATAGGAAACTGCTATCAGAAGTAGCACAATCCTACAGGGAGCATTTCCATACAGACCAGGTTTGTCGCTGACCACAACTCATGTTACTGTGTGCTCTGCTCCCACCTCAGTCTGGTGCCCCGCTAGCGTGGTGCCCAGGGGCAACTGCCCCCTCTCCCCGTTCTCCCTTCGCTTTGCCTCTGTGCTGGGAGCCCAGAACATCCGGCAGCATCCTCTGCCCAGCCTGTTCCAGGGCTTGGGGGACCCAGTGCCGCATGGACACTCCAGAAGCCCGGAGCACCCTCCGGCAGCCATGCTGAGGCCCAATATTTTTTTTCCGTGGCCCAATGGCGGGCCGTGGCCCATAGTTTGGGAAATGCTGATCTATACCAGTGTTTTTTAAAATGGGCCATGCACCTACTTTGGGAAAGCTGCTACTGGGCCCATGCTGCTTTGTTGATGTAAAGGCTTCATAGCCATGGTGCCTTCTGGCTCCCATGGGCTCTGATTCACCATTGCCAGCCAAGGGGTGCGATGGGATGCAGCGATCCAGGGCCACGCTGCTTCCTGCAGCTCCTTTTGGCTGAAAACAGTGAACCAGAGACAATGGGAGCCACAAGGCTCCGTGACTACAGAGCCTTTAGGTCAACAAAATGGTGTGGGCCTGCTAGTGACTTTCCCAAAGCAGATGTGTAGACCACTTTCAGAAACACTGATCTAGACCATCCCTGATAGGTGTTTTTCAAGAGCAGGTTAGACAATTTCCAATTACAGAGATTCCACAGCGTCCCTAGGCAATTTTTCCTACTGTCCCATCTAAACTGCTCTTGCTGCAATTTAAGCCCATTGTTTCCTGTCCTAGCCTCAGAGATTAAGGAGAATAGTTTCTCTCTGTCCTTGTAAGAACCTTTTATGTACTTGTAATTCTTATGTCTTCTCTCAGTCTTCTTTTCTTCTGGCTAAGAAAACCAATTTTTTCAATATTCCTTCATAGATTATGTTTTCATTTTTGTTGCTCTCCTCTGGACTTTCTCCAATTCATCCCCATTTTTCCTGAAACGTGGCCTGCCGGATCTGGACACCATTCTCCACTTGAGGCCCACTTAGTGTGGAAAATGACTTCTCATGTCTTACAACGCTTCTTGAATGATATTTGCTTTTTTTTGCAGTAGTGTTACCCTGTTGACTCATATTTAGCTTATGGTCCACAATGACCCTTAGATTCCTTTCTGCAGTAATCCTTCCCATTTTGCATATGCGCAAATGATTGTTCCTTCCTAAGTGAAGTTCATTACATTTGTCCTTATTGAATTTCATCTTTCATTGTTTCAGACTGTTTCGCTAGTTTGGAAAATAGGATTGAAATTCAAAATGATCTGGACAAAGCACTTGTAACTTCTCCCAGGCCTATGCTATTATCTAAACCATTGATGAAGATATTGAACAAAACCAGATACATTACTGATCCCTGAGGAACCTTACTCATTGTGCTCTTTCAGCATGACTGTGAACCACTCACTAGGAACAGTTTTCTAACCAGTTATACTCCCACATTATAATAGTTTCATCTTGTACAACAAGATTGTATTTGCTTAGTTTTTTTATGAAAAGGTCATGCAAAACAATATCAAAAGCCTTATTAATTTAAAGATGTACCACATCTGCCACTAGCCATCTAGCAAAGGGGTGTTATCTTGACAAAGAAAGCTGTTGGCATTAGAAAAGATTCAGAAAAGGGCAACTAAAATGATTCAGAGCCAATGGAATGGTCCCATATGATGAGAGATTAAAGAGACTGGGACTTTTCAGTTTAGAAAAGAGGAGACTGAGGGGGGATATGATAGAGGTATATAAAATCATGAGTAGTATGGAGAGGGTAAATAAAGAAAAGTTATTTACTTGTTCCCATACTATAAGAACTAGAAGTCATCAAATGAAATTAATGGATAGCAGGTTTAAAACAAGTAAAAGAAAGTACTGGGCTAGATGGACCTTTGGTCTGACCCAGTATGGCCATTCTGATGTTATGTTCTTATCCTTGACAAAGGTGTGTGCAAAGTGATTGCTTAAGTATTACCACAAGAGGTGAAAGTAAACAAGTGTGCTCAGGTGTGCAGCTCCAACAAGAGCTGGCTGACTGAGCCGACCTGACCTGGGTTGCAATAGGACAGTACCTGCAAGAAATTTTAAGTTAATTTCACCGCTGATTACCACTCTTATCTTTACAGGCACTGAAGATAAGATCCCTGGTCTGTTATTCCTTTTGGCTGTCTGTATTCCCCTTTTTATAGATAGGCACTAAATTTGGGCTTTTCCAGCCCTCTGGAATCTCATTTGTCTTCCATGACTTTTCAAAGATAACCACTAATATTTCCTCAGGTCCTTGAGTATTTCAGGATGTATTTAATCAGTTTCTGGTGATTTGAAGTAATCTAACTTGTCTAAATAATTTTATCTTGTTCTATCTCTATTTTAGCCTCTGATCCCACCTCATTTCCATTGGCATTCACTATTGTTAGATGTCCAATTGCTACTGAATTTTTCTTTTGTGAAAACTGAAACAAAAAAAAGTTATTTAGCACTTCTGCCAGTTCCACATTTTCTGTTGTTTTTCCCTCTTCACTAATCAATGGTCCTACCCTGTTCTTGATCTTCCTCTTTCTTCTAATATATTTTTAGATTCTTTTCTTGCTGCCAAGTACGTCTGTACAGGCTGTCTTCACTATAAATCGCCCCGGTATATGTTGGTTCCGCACTAACGTAATTGATGAATTTAGGAACTGTTTTGTTATAAATCCTCCCATTCCCTGATCTTACGTCACTCAAAAAAAATTTGCTTAAATGAAAGTCAGCCACTTGAACGCAAATCAGAGAAAGCAGCGAACTCGTGTGCTGTGCAGACGCAGCAGACACAGAGGAATACTGTGCACTGTACTATAGCAACCCATGTCAAGTATTGACGCTCTCTGTCTTTGTTGTGCAAAGATACCACACCCTCCTGGGTCATCCTTTACAATACAGTATTGTGTTATATTGTGCAATCATTCCACATGTCTAAAGGAAGTGCAAGTGATGTTAAAAGTAAAGTTGGTGAGTGTACAAGGCATCGGAGTAGTGTTAGTCAGAATGCAAAGTTGGATGTATTAGATCATAATAGGAAGGGTGAATGCTCTGACGATATTGCTCACCGACTTGGAATGCCTCTGCTGACCCTATGCATGATTATTAAGAATCATGAGAAAATTTTGGAAACAGCAAAACTTGTGCTGAAGCATGCTTCTGTGAAGCAAAGAAGTGAAAGGATGGAGAAAATGGAACGCTTGTTGTCTATATGGCTGCATAATCTGTACAAGCATAATTTGTACATTAGCCTACCCCTCGTTCAACAGAAGACCATGAGTTTGTATAAAGAAGGAGAGACTTGTGAACCTGGACATTTTAATGCCATCAGTGGATGGTTTTACAGGTTTCAGAAAAGATATGGCTTCAAGAATGTGCAAGTGCTGGGAGAGGCTGTGAGGGCAGACAAGGATGTAACTGAAGCATTTCCCAAAATGCTAAAGACCATCATAAAAGAAGGTGGCTACAACCTACGGCAAGTTTTCAATAGTGATGAAATGGGCTTGTATTGGAAATGCATGCTGTCTAGGACCTGTATTTCTGTGAACCAGAAGTCTGCTCCTGGATTTAAGGCCTTGAAGGATCTCCTAACTCTGTTGTTAGGGGGTAATGTCGATGGAGACAAGAAGCTGAAGCCCTTGCTAGTGTACTGTAGTGAAAATCCATGTGCTATGAAATCTCGGCTTCTTGTCATTTGGAAATCCCACAGAAAGGTCTGGATGACGAGGAACCTTTTCTGTGAATGGTTTCTGGGTTATTTTGTTCCAGAAATGAAAAAGTATTATGAAGAGAATAACCTTACATTCAAGATTCTCCTCATCCTGGACAATGCTAGTGCCCACAACCTGGATTTTGAATCCCTCTGTCCTAACATCCAGGGTTTTTTTTATGCCACCCAGGATAACCTCACTCATGCAGCCAATGGTCAAGGGATTATCACAAACTTCAAAGCTTATTATTGGTTGAGGACATTCCACAGACTCATTCAGGAAATTGCTGGAGAAGGAAAACCCACAGTCCAGGAATTCTGGAAAAAAATCAACATTATGGATGCTGTTATGATCATCAGTGCTGCCTGGCAATACGTCTCCAATTGTTTAATGAAAAGAGTCTAGAAGATCCCATATACTGATGTTGTGCATAACTTCTTAGGCTTTCTGGAAGCCCTTATACATAAGGAAATCATCCAACTAGCAAAGGATGCCAGCTTTCAGGAAGTCAAAGAGGATGATGTGAAAGAGTTGTTGGAATCTCATTTTTTCCTCTCAGTAACAAGGATTTAGCGGAGTTGTATAACACCAAAAGAAGATAGTGTCAGTGAAGATGGGGATAAAGATGCCAGCCTCAACTCCCTATCCTCCAATGTGTCTTCAAACTGTATGAAGAGATGGTAGATATTCTTAAGGAACGTGACCATCTTGTTGATCGTTCTTCAAGAGCAGCAGCAATCGCATCTGATGGCTTGTCATGTTACAGACAGATTTTAGATGCCAAACTTAAGTGCACCAAGCAAACAACACTGGACACTTTCTTTACTAAAAAAGTAAAAAAAGATCCCAAACCATTCATGGACGAGCTTCAACCAGGACCTTATGATATTAAAAAGCAGGAAAAAAACCATGCAGCAGTCATTGAAGAGCCTCCAGAAGTTGTGATGTATATGCTTTATTTAAATGATTGTATTTTTTAAAAATACAATGTTAATTTTATTAAGATAATTTTCATTTCAGATTTTTTAAAAAAGGATTGATTTTTTCCATTTGATTTTTTTAGTAATTTTTTAAAATGGGAATTCTATCAAGGGTATTTTTTTCTTCGTCCCAATAAACTCCTATCATTGGCTCTGTTTTAACAAAAATGGGCTTTAATCAATTTGGTTTCTAATAACATTTTATTTCTGTTTTCAAACCTTAAGCATTGATTTAGGTGTGCCAAAACAGAGCACTACTCCAAATTGCTCGTTTGATCTCTTCTGTAAAGTTTATTGAGAACCAACCCTATTCCAGGTTCATCCTATATTTCTGACTCATCTTGGTTCAGTCTCTTTCAACATTCACTTGGTTAGTCAGTTTTGAGGATTGTACTTGATCTGATGATTGTCTCTTTTCTGTTTATTTTTATGAGAAGCAATCCCATTCCAGGCACATCCTATTTTCCTGGTACAACCAAACCCTTACATTACTTTAAGTTATAATAAGAGGAAGCTGTGCACTGAATTTGGTGGTTCTAGCTGTGATGATTTAGGAGGAGTTATAGACCAAAGAGACAAACTCTGTAAAATGTATAGTATATTCCAAAAGGAAATTATATTAAAATAGACTGAAGGGAAGTTATACTTCATGACAGTTTCTCATTTTAGATGCAAAATAAATTGTTTAAAAGAAAACACTTTCAGCTGCACATGTCTTTTCATTTCTATATTATTTTTAAATTGAGGGTAATTTTATTTATTCACACAAACTCCACCTCTTCTATCGGGTTTCTGTAATAACTGATGATTACTGTGATAACTGCTCCTGAAGTGCAGTCATTTTCACTCATTAGCAAAAGCTAAATGAGGATGAAATTTTATGGTCCTGTTCAGTGGCGTACAACAGCTGTTACCTTCTGTGCAGTTGTTCTGCACCAGTTGGTTCAACAGAATGTCTTCAAAGGGACTTCACTGATTACCTTCTATTTTTTTTCTTCAGTGCCATTTTCAACTGACCTTCAAGTTCTCCCTTTGAAAGAGTTCATATTGAAGTTGCAAATAAGATTTGTAAAAAACAATCTCATATTCTTATCAAGACCAAGGAACACCATCACAATGGATACCATATCAGCCACACTAACACTGCCACTGACAAGCTCTTTAAGATCTGCCATTAACCCATTAAACTGGAATGCCATGAAAATAATACCACATTGTATTCAATCATTTGAGTGTTGATAGGAATCAAACTTTTGATTATTTCTCTTCCATTAATTTCCTTCTGCTCTTTAATTCCATACACAAAATTAATTCCCAAAGAATTAATGTACATAAACTATATTCTAATTCTTTGTGTGAATAACTGAAGGTTTGACAAGGATCTAATGGTATTTAAGCACGTGAATAATAAATATGATATGGTGCAAACATAAAAAGTGCTCATGGTGACTGAAACTGAGACCCCAATCTGCAACTGATTTGTACATATGGGTACCTGCATGCACAATAGGGGATAGGTTAGGAAAAACTAGGCACACTACAGTACCAAGTTCTCACCACAAAATAAACTTCATCCACATGAGCTACCCTTCACAAGACATTATACAGCTGTTCAAAATATGGTTATACATGAATGTTGGGTTCCTAGAAGTTGATTGTCCCTCAGTAGATTTCTGGCACAGGAAAAAAAAAAAACTTAACCTCATCTGTGTTATAAGTATTCTTTTCATTTCCTTCACCACTCCAGGATAATTTCAACATATCAAAACAAATATAGCAAGTATATCATTTTGCTGTGTAGGCTACATACATGAATCATTTTTGTTCTGTAGACTTGATCAAAGCCATAAAAACAAACTAGTACAGTAACTAAAATGGAATGGAATCATTAATTAAATGATTAATTGTCCCTATTCAAAAGGACAGTTCAGTTCCACCTGATTCATGTTTTTATTTTGCTAGCTGATAATTTTTCATGTGATATGGAGATGGAACACTATGTGAGAAAGCAGATGGTATCCTGTCGTGACTCACTGTTTCTTCCTGCCTCTTCTTTTTTTTTTCTGCACATATATTTTTCTAAAGGGTTATGTTAAAAACCAAGGAAGTTGGTTTTTTTTATCATCACTACATTGACATTAAATTACAGTTATATAAACACATCAAAAGCTACTAAAATGCCATTGATAGATTGTGTTGTTGTTACTAAACACAAAGAGCAGAACACAGCAGTCTACTTAATGAGGTTTACACAACCTCATTGTACCTTACATAATTATATCGTGTACCGTATTTCCACAATCATACTCAGAGAGCTGCTCTACTCTGCAGTTAGGTTGATGTAGAGCAGCTTACATTGATCTAATTATGTCAGTGTCTATACTACAGCTTTGTTTCTGCCGGCATACATGGCCTAATGCACTGACATAGTAATTCCACCTCCATGAGTGGCACAGGGCTTGTATCGGTGACACAAATTAAGGTGGCACAATGTCTACACAGTGGGGAGTCAGGGTAAGAAGACCTGGTCACTTCCCTTCACCCCCAGTTCCAAATGAGAGCTGGGACCGGTCTTGTTAATTTCACGGCTCAAAGTCATGGAATAACCAGGCTCCCTGGCTTCTGCAAGGAAGCAGGGAGGTGGTTGGAAGACAGAAGCTGCAGCTGGACCACTCTTTCTGAGGGCCAGAAGCCCTGGGCACACATTGCTCCCCATGAGAAACAGGGACTAGGCGGTAGGACATCCCTCCAGAAGCTTGGGAAACTATGTGGTTGTCTGGGTCATGGGAGGGAGTGGCCAGGCACCAGACTGAGAGACCAGGCTCTTGAATTCACATCCTGCCCCTCAGCGGTCATTGAAAATGCTCCTAATGTGGATGCATACCACTGCTATAATTACTGTAGTGGCTGTAAGTTGATTTAATATAGACTCTAGTAATGAAGACAAGGAGAAGGTGCTAATTTCTGGAAAAGGTTCTGGAAATCACAACTGCATTATAGAGGGGAAGAAACAACAGGGCAGTCTGCAAAGCATCTTTGATGCCTGTATATAAATGCAAAGAGTATGGGGAGAACTAGGAGGATAAACCGGAAGTCATGGTATATGAAAAAAATTATGGCTTAATTGTCAACACAGAGAGTTGGTGAGAGAACTCCTATGGCTGGAGTACCAGCATTAAGGATATAGCTTGTTCCGAAAAGATAGGTATGGGAAAAAAGAAAGAGATGTTGCACCTGACATAAAGAATGTATACACTTGTTGCGAGGTCTAAGGGGAAGTAAGTGGGGGTATGTCTACACTACCCCCCTAGTTCGAACTAGGGGGGGTAATGTAGTCATACGGAGTTGCAAATGAAGCCCAGGATTTGAATTTCCTGGGCTTCCTTTGCATAAAGCCGGCCGGCGCCATTTTTAAATGCTGGCTAGTTCGGACCCCGTGCCGCGCGGCTACACACGGCACTGACTAGCTAGTTCGGATTAGGCTTCCTAATCCGAACTATCTGTACGCCTCGTTCCACGCCTAATCCGAACTAGCTAGTCCGTGCCGCGTGTAGCCGCGTGGCACGGGGTCCGAACTAGCCGGCATTTAAGAATGGCGCCGGCCGGCTTTATGCAAATGAAGCCCGGGAAATTCAAATCCCGGGCTTCATTTGCAACTCTGTATGACTACATTACCCCCTCTAGTTCGAACTAGGGGGGCTTAGAGTCTCTTGGTGAGGATAACAAGGGAAAAGGACAATAGTGATGTTATGGTGAGAATCTATTATAAACTATCAAATCAGGATCAGGAAGTGGATGAGTCATTCTACAAGAATGTTACAAAATTAGCTCCCACACAAGAACTAATAATAATAGGGGATTTTAACTTCCCTGATATCTGTTGTAAGACTATTGCAGCAAAACATAATTCATTCTACAAATTCTTAGTGTGTGTAGTAGACAGCTTTCTGATTCAGAAAGCTGAGAAATAAGTAAGTCTATTTTGAATCTAGTTTTGATCCACAGGGTTAATTACTTGCAAAAGTGAAGGTGTTTGGGAACTTGGGAAGAACTGATCACAATCTGATAGAATGCCAGATCCTATGAAATGGAAGATATGAGAAAAGAAAAGAAAAAATCCCCAAAGAGACAACATGTTAGAAAGACAGATTTCAACCAACTCAGAGCAGTAGTAGGCCAAGTCGCAAGGAAAGACCAATAAGGAAGAAAAGACGCTGAAGTGGGCTGACAATTCTTAGAAGGCCTAACACTAGAGTAGTGTTTCTCAACCTTTTTTTTTTTTTAAATAAAATACCCCTTTTCAAAAAAAAAAAAAAGATAAGTACCCCCAGTACCTACGGTTTTCAGACACACGCAATTTTTTTCCACCATTGCAACACATTTGTTTAAACAATTTAATTGTACCTGGGCGGGCGATTAAATTTT